AACTGGAATATACAGTTCAGAAGCAGCTATGCAAGGAGTACAGAAAAAAAAAGGTAGGGAAAATACTATACAGAAGAAAAGTATAAGACTCAGAACGATACAGTGAGATCTCATCTGTGTTTTATTGGACTCCCAGAAAGAAGAGAGGAAATAAAGGCCAAAGGAAATATTTGAAAGGATAGACAAATGGACCAGTAGAACAGAAGAGAGTATAAACACAGATCCCAGAACCCAGAATACTTGATTTATGACAAAGATAGCACTGTAGAATAATGGTGAATGATTGAGATTTTCAGTAATTGGTAATTGGACAATTGAGTGTTCATATAGAAAAAAATGGACTATTTTCATAAAAATCAATTATGTTTGGAATACAGATCTGATTGTTCAAAACAAAGTCTGTGGTGGATAATGAAAAATATCTTCTTGAGCTTTGGGTAGAGCAAGGTTTCTTTATCAAGACAAAATTACTACAATTAAGAACTTATATCAGGCAAAATATAGGGAGTCACAGAAGGGGAAGGGTATTTGCAGTACAGCCCACAAAAGACTTTTATCTAAAATAATTTGAGTGCAAAACAAAGCTGTAAACTAAAAAAAAAGGCAGCCCCATTGGAAAAGTGGACAAAATTGACCCTTGAACAACATGGGTTTGAAGTGCACAGGTTCACCTATATAAGGATTTTTTTCAGTAAGAATTTGGAAAAATTTTTGGAGATTTGCAACATCTTGGAAAAAACAAAGTGTAAAACCTAGAAATACTGAAAGCATAAGAAAAGGTATGTTATGAATGCATAAGATATGTAGGTACTAGTCTATCATTTACTATAAAATATACATAAATCTCTTGCAGTTTCAATTTATCAAAACTTATACAAACTGTACATGGCACCATTCTCGGTCAAGAAAATGGTAGAAAGACAAAGATTCAGTGTTAAATCATAACTGCATAAAAGTAACTAGTACATGCTGTATTACTGGAATAATTTAGTAGCTACCTCCTGTTTCACTGTGGTGAACTCATATGTTGTAAGTATCTGCTTAAAACACTGTGACACAAATCATCTCCAGATGAGCAGTTCAGCTCTCCAATAAATTGTGTTCTGTAGTAAAAAGTGAACTTTTGTGGTTCTCCTGTATTTGTCATCTTGTTTATTTAGTGCAATACCATAAACCTTGTGACACTGGGCCCATATGAAGTGCCACTTGTGATACTGGAAGAGCTCCCAAGAAATAAAGTCATGACATTACAAGAAAAAGCTGAATTGCTTGATGTGTACCAGAGATTGAGGTTTGCAGCTACAGTTGCCTGTCATTTCAAGATCAATGAATCCAGCATAAAGACCCTTGTAAAAAAGGAAAAGGAAACTCAATGAAGCCATTGCTGCAGCTGTACCAGCAGGTATGAAAAGCTTGCACTGTTCATGAAATGTCTTTTTATCTCATGTTGAAAATGCTTTTATGTGGATGCAGGATTGCTACAAGAAAGTCATGCCTGTAAAGTCATTATGACAACTTAAAAGCAAAGGAAGGATAGGATCTAAAGCTGGAAAACTTAATGCCAGCAAAGGATGGTTTGATAATTTTAGAAATAGGTTTGGCTTTAAAAATGTCAAGATAACAGGAGAAGTAGCTTTTGCTGACCAAGAGGCAGCCCATAAGTTCCCAGATGCCATTAAGAAAATCATTGAGGAGAAAGGTTGTGTCTGTCTGAACAGGTTTTTATGCAGAAGTACCCTATTCTGGGGCGGAAGGGAAACACCACAAAGGACATTTTAGTAGTAAGGAGGAGAAGCAAACACCAAGATTTAAGATTGGAAGGGATAGGCTAACTCTACTGTTTTGTGCAAATGCAGATGTGTTTATGATCAGGACTGCCCTATCTATAAAACTGCTAACCCCTGATACTTGAAGGGAAAAGATGACAGCTGCCAGTTTTCTAGTTGTACAGCAAGGTAGCCGGGGCCATAAGAACCCTTTTTCTGAATTTTCCGTCAATGCTTTCCCTCTGAAGTCAGGAAGTAACCTTGCCAGTAAAGGGACTGCCGTTTATAAAGTTCTTTTGATATTGGACAAAGGCCCCTGGCCACCCAGAACCCCATTAGTTCAACACCAAAGGCTTTGAAGTGGCCTGTTTGTCCTCAAACACAATGTGTCCAATTCAGCCTCTAGATCAGGGCGTCATAAGGACCTCGAAGGCTTGTAACACAAGGTACTCCATGGAAAGGATTGTTCACGCTATGGAAGAGAACCCAGTATAGAGAACATGAAAATCTAGAAGGATCACACCATTGAAGATGCCATTGTTACAGGAAAAGATGTGAAAGCCATCAAGCTCTAAACAAATTCCTGCTGGCGAAAACTGTGTCCAGATGTTATGCATGACTTCACAGGCCTTGTAACAGAGCTAATCAAGGAAATCATGAAAGAGATTGTAGAAATGGCAAAAAAAAAAGTGGGAGGTGAAAGTTTTCAAGATACAGATCTTAGAGAAATTCAAGAGCTAATAAACCACACCAGAAGAATTAAGACCATTTGGTGGAGATGAATTACTTCCAAACCAGTGTCAGATGAAGAAGAGCTGCCAGAAAACAAATTGACATTAGTGTGGCATAAGGGTCTGATTATTCAAGACTGCTTTTAACTTTTTACAACATGGACCTAATGTCTATGATACAGGCACTGAAACTAAAGCAAACAATAGAAAAAGGATTGGTACTGTGTAGAAACATCTTTGGAGAAATGAAAAAGCAAAAAACTTAGAAACTGCAATTTATTTCTGTAAAGTTACACTGAGTATGCCTGCCTCTCCTGCCTCCCCTTGCACCTCCTCCATCTCTTCCATCTCTGCTACCCCTGAGACAGCAGGACCAGTCCTGCTCTTCCTCTTCCACAGCCTACTCAACATGAAGATGATGAGAATGAAGACCTTTATGATGACCCACTTAACAAATTACTGAATAGTAAATCATCATGAGTACACTTCATAAACTTATCTGTTGTGTATGTGTGTGTCTTCATAAGAACCTTCTAACTGCAGCAAAAATTGTATGAGCCGTTTTGTGTCGTCATTGTCACCTAAGTATTCTGTAGAACATCACTTGCAAGACTTGTATGGAAGTCAATAGCCTATCCTTATATAGGCATAAGATGAGTGATATTTAATATAAAATTAATAATGTTTTCTTGCTGTTTCACAACTTTGCTTTCAAAGAATTGCATTACCATATGTATGCGTCTCACATAATTGGAGAATCTGTATATCAGCCTATCATCACAGGTAGGTGGTTACATAGAAATGTAACAATGTTCCCACACTGTGTTATGACTATGAGTGTAATACATAAAGATTTTATAATGATTTGTGTAGAGGCTGGGTTACTGTGAAGCACTGTATTGATCATCCTAGGCTACCATAAAGCAGTCATACTGATGCTTACTCATTTTGGTGCATAAATCATATCTGTAAATAATTACAAATTTTTACTTCTGATGTCTAATGTTAGTAATAAATTATTTTATTTCAAATACAGTGTTTTGTATCATATAAGATGATATTGATGTAGGTGGTGACAGATGATGCATCTTATAAACAGATGGTGTAAACTTGCATGAGTAACTACAATATAATACTGTAAATGTATTTTCCCTATGATTTTCTTAATAACATTTTTTATTTAGTTTATTGTAAGAATGCAGTATATAATACATATAACCCAAAATAATCAACTCTTACTATTCTGGTCAACAGTAGTTAAGTTTTGGGGGAGTCAAAAGTTATATACAGATTTTCAACTGTGGAGGGTTGGCACCTTTAACCCTATGTTGTTCAAGGGTCAACTGTATTTAACACTTTACCAAAGATGAAACCCAAATGATCAAAGGTATTTAACAGAGAATTCAATACTTATTCTGGTTTTGTTTATCATAATGGAAAATTAAAAGGAATCTAAATAACAATGATAGGGAGTCAGCTAATTCGAATATCATATATATAATAGAAATGTCCTTCAGTTATTACAAATGATTTATAATTTTAACTGGCTTACAATATATTAAAAATGTACAGAACATTACATGTCATCCACTTAGGTAAAAAATATATATTTCATGAAGACCAGAAATATTTTTTAAAGTGACTCTATGGATGATGGTACTTGGAATGATTTTAATCACATATATCTTAACTGGTATTATCTAGTCTTTCTAAACTGGGCCTGTACTGTTATGTAACTGATAACATAGAACGGTATACTAAAATTCGGGCATTATATCCAGTTTTCCATTGTGAGAGTAAACTTTATAGTTATTGAAATTCTGACCAAGTGAACTATCATTGTGAGAAAAATGTGTTCCTACACATAAGCACGTAACTGTAGGATGTGCAGTAACAACACAGAAGGTGGAATACTATAGTATATAAGACACAATGACAGCTTTCCCCCGTTTTCTTTTCAATTAAATGGTCCTCTAATTCTGTTCTTTTTTAGCAGTTATCCCCTTTTAATATTTCTTCTCCCTTTTTCCATTCTTCCTTAGGATCTTAAATTTTCTTTAAAATTTATTCTCTTAATTCATGGAAAAAAAAACATGCTTTCTAAATTACATTTGATAAAGTAGATGGGTATATTACTTTAAAAATTATTTACAGCATGTGGATTTTAATAGGAAAGGATTTGATTTCTTTTTCACTGTCATCAAGAGTGGTTTTTGTTTTTAGTTTGGGTGTGATATTATCTGACAAATTAAAAAACTACTATTTGCTGTATTTGTTTTGCCCTACTCCCAAGAAGCTTAGAGATAAATTTAGGGTCCATTACCCATCCATATAGGTCTGCTTCAACTTATAATTGTTTTTAGGTCATTAATTGCCTTCTTAACCTTTTTGAAAGAAGGGGAAAAAATGTGAATAAATATGCAGTATATAAATATATGTGTATATACACACAGACAAGTACAGTCTCTTACACTATGTAAACACTGTTTTAAATCTCTTTTAGCCAACAAATGGAATCTTCTTGAGCATGTTTCTAATTGTTTTGCCATTGGAATCCATGGCTCATGGGCTCTTCCATGAATTGGGTAGCTGTTTAGGTGGAACTTCTGTTGGATATGCTATTGTGATTCCTACCAACTTCTGCAGGTACAGTGATCTAGTATAATTAATAATAACTACTTGACTCTAAACATCTTCCTAATATGTGTATGACTATGAATATAAAATAGCTCATTTTTTCAAAGCTATAGTATTTTCAAAGTATAATACTCTGTTGCATTTTTTTCATTCATCCCAGATTCTTAAAAGCCTTTATCTACTCTGAGTAACAATAGAATCTTCAGGGTTCAGTTTAAATATCTTTTTGATAGATGTAATTAGCTTATATTTTAGCTAAAAATTAGAAAATACGAATTTTCTAAGGAAAGGGATATCCTGTTTAAAAAAATGTCCTGTGAAACAATGTGGTGAAATATAATAGAACATACACTGGACCTGAGAGTCCTAAATTTCAGTTGTTACCTTAGGCAGATTGTAACTTCTCTGACCTCATTGTCTCCATCTAAAATGCAAGTGACAATAGCTATTCTGCCCATCTCAGAGGAATGTTATGAAGAGCAAATGAGAATATGAATGTAAAATTTTGCCCATTGGAAATGTCACACAAATACCAGGAATTCAAAAGATTGGCAATGAAGTTAAATATGTATTTGTTTGTTTGCAGTTTTATTGCAAAATAATTTTTTACTCCAAATGTGTGGCAAATCTGAATGTATGTATTGCCACATTATAATTTAAGTACCTTTTAAATAGAAAAACTAGTTATTTGCTATTAGTGAATTCTGATGACCAGATATTCATCAGACTTTCCTTGGTTTATGGAGTTGTTAGGAGGATCTGAACTAAAGTTTTTATCTGATTTCAAATATTTGACATAAAATACCCAAATAGATTATTCGTAGTAAATATTTTCCTCTATGTGAAAGGCTTGATAAAAGGTGAAAAGTCTCATGAGAAGTAAAAGAAATAGATTTAGTAGTGTCCCATAAAGTAAGATGTGACAACTTGCGGGAAGAGTAGATAATTTGCATGGTCAGACTTTTATTCCATTATAATTTTTGTTTATGTATTGCTTATTCTTTTACCCTCTGTGACTTAAACATTATAAATATGGAACAAAATGTTTCATCCTCTTAATGAAAACTACTGTTATTAGAATAGTGTTGGTAATACATGAAGCAAAATAGAAATTTTCAAAATTCCTGATAAAAATCCCTTTTCTAGACAGGAGTGATGATTTTTTTTCCTCCCTCAGTATTAATAGCATTTTGAGTCTGCTGATTCTAAGATTTTGTTCTATCATCTTTACTAGAGGAATGTTTTACGTTTGTTCTATGATTAGATCTAGATCTAATCTTCAATTAGTGTTCAACAATATAGGGCAATGAACTAAATAATTGTTTTAAAATGCCACTAATAGGTATTTTTATACTATCATTTATGTATCTTAAGTTTGTAAAAATTATGTACCTTCAGTAAAACTTGAACTTTATAGACTCAATACAGAAATTTAAGATACTGCTTCCATATTTTGTTTAAATTTTTTTCTCAAGAAAAATTCTTGAGCCATTGGGTAAAATCAGCATGATCTTGCTTTTAAAAAGTCATGTTCACATTTCTCCCTTTATTATTATTTTTATTTTTATTTTTAATAAAATGCTGAAGTGGTAGGTAGATGCAAGTACTGTTCACCATGTAAGAACTTATTCACTATGTAAGAATTTGTTCACCATGTAAGAACTTGTTCGTTATGCTTCAGAAGATTGGAGACTGACGAGAATTAGGCTTGGGGTAGATTAAAAATGCTATTTGATTATGCATTGAGCATTGACTCCCCTATACAGAATTTTATTGTTGTTAACAATCATTTGATCAATAAATATGAGAGATGGCCTCTCAAAAAAAAATAAATGAATGAATGAATGAATTATTAAAAAAAAAGTCGTGTCCAATATCTGTCATTTAGTAAGATGATAGGAATAAAAAACAAAGTAATATTTGGAGATAGTCTCACAGCTTTCAGTTTGGTTATTGTTTTATTGATAAATAAAATTTTTTGAAACTAGGCTTTGATGTCCCAAGTTTAGTTGTTAGCACTACAGAAATTTTAGAAAAAGTGATTTAAAAAAAAAATCCTGCCATTTAGTTAGCAAAACGGTCAGCATTTTTAGATAATTAGTTATAAGCAAAGAATAAGAATGTGACAGAATGAATACTACTTAAACACCAAAAAAACTTTTTTTTTCTCCTCCTTCAGCCCTGATGGTCAGCCAACACTTCTTCCACCAGAACACGTACAGGAGTTAAATTTTAGGTCTACTGGCATGCTCAATGCTATCCAAAGATTTTTTGCGTATCATATGATTGAGACCTATGGATGTGACTATTCCACAAGTGGACTGTCTTTTGATACTCTACATTCCAAACTGAAAGCTTTCCTTGAACTTCGGACTGTGGATGGACCTAGACATGATACATATATTTTGTATTACAGTGGGCACAGCCATAGTACAGGAGAGTGGGCTCTTGCAGGTAAGTTCACCTCTGGCAGTTTCACTGTTGTGAAGATACACCTGTTTGTGGAAATCTGTCTTTCACATGGACACATTACATTTCCAGAATTCTCAGTTTCCTACTTCACAACTTACCAAATATACATGTGACTGTTTTTTCTTTTCTCCAGCATACCTGTTTAGCATAATTTTAGTAATCTCTAAAGGTTTTGAGAAATATGTCTCAGTAATACATTTACTGGAAGAAAAATCTGTCATGATCTGAGAGTTATTAAATAGTTAGACTTTTCTAAAACTAACTTTAACTACTACTTCTAAGTCTTTAAATGTTAGAAATCTGATTTCAGTAGTCCCTTCACTTGGGCAGTTTTATTTATGTTAGAAAGCTCGCCAAAATATTAAATAGCAAGTGATGCCATATCATGAGGGTAAGGCTTAGGTTAAACAGACCTTGTCTCTTAACACTGTTGTGGCAAATTAGGACATTTTAGGCAAGTTACTTAACTTCTCTCAGTTTCAGTTCTCTTATTTATAAGATGAGGGGTACTATGGAATCACCTTCCCAAACTAGATGTAAATTTGTGTGTTGGTCTTCCCCACTAGAGTAGAGACCCAAAGTCAAGGGCTTTGTTTGATGAATTATTTACCTAGTGCCTCCAACAAAACCTGGTAATAGGGGATCCTTATGTAATTGATAGGCAGATGAAATCAGTGAATGAATCATGAAAAAAGGTAATTTTCTTATTTTAGATTAGAAATAGTTCTTTTAATTACATCCTGCTTTTTTTCCATTAAATTCTGTTTTACCTTAAGAACACGTAGAAATAGATATTCAGCTGAAAAAATACCTAAGTATTATGGAAGGACAGAAGCAGAGCTGCCAATACAAGCTCCAGAAGGAAGAAAGCTAATTCAAGGTTAAAGCAGAGATGATTTTTAAACCATCATGGTTGCACTTATTTCCTGCCAGATTTGTAACCAAAGTTTTTATCATAAGACATACTTCTGTAGTTTTTTGGTTTTGCAAATAAATATTGAATATCTCAATGGCTGTCTGAAGTCAAACACTTACTGAGCACATTTGAAGCTCAGCTACTATGCCTGGTATTTTATACACATTGTTAAGATTTACCCTTCACTTCAAATCCTTTGAGGTAAATACTGTCACATCCATCACCTTCATTTTTCAAAGGATGAAAGGAAAGCAGAAAGTAGTTAGAAAACTTATCTATGGTCATACTACTGCTAAGTGATGGAACTGTGATTTAAACCCAGGATCTGCCTGACCCATAATGTGTATGTTTTCCCCATTGTATCATGTTGCTGCTCAAGGCAAAAATCATGAAGGTAAAAAAAAAAATGGCATGTTCTGTTTAAGTAGATATTTTTGTTAGCTTGGTTTACCTTTTTTCGAAATACTAGAATACAAACAAAGGTAGTCAACATTAGAGCTTCTTGAATATAGTTTATGAAGTCATTTACTTGACCTATAACTTTTAATAGCTCACTGTAGAAAACAACTTTTTAACATTTATGGCTATTTTAATTCCAGGTAAAGTATGGCAGTCTGTGTACTTTTTCCTTCAGAGCACAAAGGAAAATTCTAGTCAATTCAAAATCTTCAGAGAAATAGAATTTCAGAGCTGAAAGCAGGGATTGAGTATTGAAAACTTACTGTAGTGCTCATAATAATGAACTCTTCCTGAATCAATGGGAAAAAAAGACAGTCTTGGTAATCATGCATCTGTCTGTAGTTATTTTTAAGTATTATAATGAAGTGGTTTTAAAGGTAATATTTAATCTTATGTATTTACATAAGGATTTTTAAATAGATTTTCAAAAAGTTTGCATTTTTTTTAAAAGATGGTTTTGGAAATAAATTGCAGGTGTTCAGTTTAATATTTATATCTGTTTTTTCTTTTCCTAGGAAAAGTAATGTACACCAAGAAAAATAGCATATATATCATTGTTCTTAAATTGTCATTCACTGTGAGTGAGGAATAGTTTATAAAGACTTAGAAACTTTAGAGTTACATTTTAGGTAATGTCTAGCAATTACATTCTAAAATACTATCTTGATCATTAATTTTTTGAACTATGTCACCGATATGCTTAACCATTATAGAATTCCTCAATTAGCCAAGATTTGTTCCTGTATGCTCAGCTTTCTTTGTCAGAGACTTCATTGTGAAAAGTTGAAAAAAACAATGGAGAGAAAACACAGCTTGACATGGCCCTCTTTTCCCTGAGAGGGGTAGATTTTGTTCCCTAATTCAGCAGTCATATCCTGTCATGGCCTGAGGCACCTGGCTCATTTGCAGGTAACCAGGTTAAGACAGGCACAGGGACTGAGCCTTCTTTTCAGTCAGTTTCTGCCGTGGCCTGCCAGAGACAGCTCTCCAAGCCAAGGCTGATTCTACCTCAGACACAATTACTGCACATTCCTGCCCTGAAGAATACTTCATTCCAACCCAGGAACAAAAATTCTGAGAGTTTACCAGTAGTTACTAAAAAACTTCTAAAGTAGGAAAAACCATGACTGGATTTTACTTGAGTTAGCAAATTAAGAGTCAATCCAGAACTAAATATCACTGTGAGGACAAGAATCTATATGCCCTTTATTCTATAACTTTACTCACAGTATTTCTTAGAATATGTAGTCTTCACATGTATGGGGTTTCATAATATGAAACCTGTATTTTTGCCTCATACCTGAAAAACATGGGTAGAAACAATTATGGTAATGAAAAGAAAGAAATGAAAAAAAAATGCAGGTTATCTATAAAGCAATTCATTACAGATAAACAGAGCTTTAAAAAGCAGTCTCAGTTACTTGAACTGCATCAGATGGCTGTTATGTGAGATACATGTAAGTACTTTGCATCTGGGCCAAAAGCCACGTGCAGCATAGAACCAGTTCATAAGAGAAAGGGCAAAACAAGGGAAGAGAAATAGTCGATTTAAAAGGCTTTAATGCTACTTTAAGTCTCTTGATATCTAAAGAGCATGTATATAAGAGAATTAGTATAGAATGTGAAGAACATTTATTGAAATAGTTGTAGAAGGCAAGGTAGACAGTGATGTTTTTGTGCAGATGGAATTTGTATAATAGCTCTTATAATTTGTCTCATCCTTTGATCTCCAGAGCAATTTAATAGAACTGGTAGTAATGAAAAGTTAACATCCAACCATTTTGAAAAGTTGTCCTTTGGAGGTCTCTGTGAAGTAGCACATTAGTAATGTGTGTGGACCATGTATTGAAATTGTGCCTCTGAGATGATATGCCTTGGTGTAAGAGCAATTCATGAGACAAATGTTGGAGCCTAGGATATAACAGGCTGATGAATAAAATATTAATTATTCATAAAGAATGTGCTATATACCCTGGCTTCACAGGTCTTAGGTTTAATAGAAAGAGAATTCTAAAGGATTCTCTTTCTCTCCCATGTTGTCATTCTGATTGCTAAGTGAAGAGGATTGTTTCTCGTGGTAAAAATGTATACTCTGATGTTAGGTTGTCGGAGCTTGTGCTGGGAAGCTGTAGCATATTAAAACTTTTCTAATTATGAAAGGAACATATATGCTCAATGTAAAAATTTTGGAAAATAGAGAAAAGTATAACAAAAACTACCTGCCAAACACCCAGCAACAACCACCGCTATTATTTTTGTAGATACATTTCTATGTCATGCTTTTTCTCCTAATATCACAGACATTTTCTCATGAAGGAATTTTCTTATAAAATTCCTTCGTAATTTATTTCCATTCCCCTTAGTTGATTCTGATTTTATACCACCTTAGATACAGTGGGAAGAAGATTTTTTATTTTTGTCTCCATTTCTGCCTTTTCCTTAGAATAAATTCCTGTGATTGGAATTGTTGTTTTAGTGTACCACTGAGCCAGAACCAGGACTAGGGTAAGGTGAGGAAGGCAGTTTCCTGGGGCACAAAGTGCAAGAGGGTGCCAAAAATTAAATCAAGATAATATTTTGATGCAGTATATTTGAAAATCAAAACTAATGCGAAAAACTATCCACAATGAACCAGATGTAAAGCCTACTAAGCTGTAAGACAGATTTCTAGGTCACACTTATGAACTTAGACCTTTCTGGATATATTGTATACCTGAAAAACAACAAAGGATTTAAAAAATTATTTGAAAGTTTATTCTAAACTCATTCTTGTATAGGTAGAAAGAATGTTTCATTTTCATTTAGTAGGTTCCTGCATATGAGGATAGGGAAACACCACTTGTTTAGTGGTGTAGAACAGGTGTCAGCAAATTTCTGTGCTGTAATAGTGCAAAAGCAGCCATAGAAAGAAATGTAAATGAGTGTTATTTATGAAAATAATATGAAATGTAAACTGTCTGATTTTCACATGTCATGAACTTTTGTTCCTTTTTCCTTTTAACCATTAAAATGTAAAATCAATTCTTAGCTGTCAGGCCATACAAACACAGGTGGCAGGCAGGATTTGGCCACAGACAATCATTTGCTGCCCTTTGAATATTAGCTTTCCTTTGTGATTTTAATTTTCATTAACTTTATAAAACAATTTTCTTAATGTATCATAGCAGATTCCTTTTTTAATATAACAAGGATGATTGTCTTTTGCTTTTTGTTTTTTTTACCTGAAGTCAAAAGTCTTTTTTTAAAAAGTCTCTTAAAGTATCTTTGAAGGCTCCATCTATTTTTTTTTTTTTTTTGCTTAACATATTTAATTCCAAGACTTTCAAGAAAATACACTTAAAAATATATTCTTAAAAGAGGTTTCAAAAGTTATTACTCTGTTGCATTTTCTTCTGTTCCCAGGTGGGGACATACTACGCCTTGACACACTTCTAGAATGGTGGAGAGAAAAGAATGGTTCCTTCTGTTCCCGACTCATTATTGTATTAGACAGTGAGAATTCAACCCCTTGGGTGAAAGAAGTGAGAAAAATCAGTGACCAGTATATTGCAGTGCAAGGAGCAGAACTGACAAAGATAGTAGACATTGAAGAAGCTGACCCACCACAGCTGGGTGACTTTACAAAAGACTGGGTAGACTATAACTGCAACTCCACTAATAACATCTGCTGGACTGATAAGGGACGCACAGTGAAAGCAGTATATGGTGTGTCAAAACGGTGGAGTGACTACACTCTACATTTGCCGACGGGAAGTGATGTGGCCAAGCATTGGATGTTACACTTTCCTCGTATTACATATCCACTAGTGCATTTGGCAAACTGGTTGTGTGGTCTGAACCTGTGTTGGATCTGCAAAACTTGCTTTAGGTGCTTGAAAAGATTAAAAATGAGTTGGTTTCTTCCTACTGTGCTGGACACAGGACAAGGCTTCAAACTTGTCAAATCTTAATTTGCAACCCAAAGTGTAAACCCATTATTGGGAGTTCATACTACCAGTTGTCACTGACTTGCCATTTTTTTGTATATTGTGTTTTGTTTGTGAAAAATACCTTGCTACTCTGTAGCTGCTCTCACTTTATCTTTTCTCAAGTAATTATGCCATATGTAAGATGTTGGGAATAAGCATTATTTTATACTAAAAGTATGTGGGGAGTCATAAATGCTGACTATATAAATGCAGAAGAGAGGTTAAAAGTAGCAACGCACTTTGAGGAATATTTACATATGCCTCTGATTAGAAAGAAAACATTTGACTATGCTCTGCAGTAGCCAATGAAGAATTACTAATGCCTTATTTTCTAGGCATAGATTAGAGAATATAGATCAGTTTGTTTACTTTATGAAAAAACTGCCAATTTGCTTACAGAGGATTATTTTTTGTGAACAGTAGATTTGAGTCAAAGACCATTTGAAGACTGTACAAACTCTTTCTTAGAAAAAAAGAAGTCTGCCTGAAATGAATATAAAATTTGCTTATAGTCCATCACATTCAGGTGTCTTCATTGTGACCTGGTACCAGTATAGCAAAGAAGCCCAAATCACCCTTTAGATCAAAACATTATTCATTAGGGAACTGTTAAGAAGTTAAAGCCTACAAGTTGCCTTTTCATGCATTGGTGGGGGTGGGGAATGATCTCTGAAAACACTGGCAATTTTTAAGTCTTTCTCAGGGTAACAATATTTTCTTCATGAACAATGTTTTCAGCTACAAATTCCTTCCAAATTGTCTTCCCTTTCAAAAAAAATTTATAAAAGAAATTTAGCAACTTCTCATTTAATCTATTTGCAGTATTCAGAAATGACTTTGATCTCTATAAAGCTAATGCTCTGCAATGAAAATTATTTCACAAATCCCCCATTAGTGATAATATTTTTTCTACTAAAGGTCAAAGTATTGGAAACAGGTCATTTTTTTCTTGTATTATGTAAAAAGTATTCATATTGGCACTTCTTTTAGTTATGCATAATGGTGTGGTTGTAATGTTTAAAACTTAATTCAGTGTTTTGTCTGATTAGAGCAGGCACTGATCAGGGTATCTCCGAAGAAGTGATTTACCTCCTATTCCCTTCCAATAATCCTTATAGTCTAAATTTTCATCTCAAAGACGACATAACAAGAAGGGAATAGAATTAAACCGGGGGATAATCTAATCTTTTTGTTGTTTAAATTGTGCAACTTCTCACCATTGAAGCCATTTTTCCAGCCTCTGAGGGAGGAAATATGCCTCTACCTTTTTATACCTGGTGACTTGAAAATTGAAGTTTTAATTAGAAGTCACTTAGTGTCAGGGAACTGATATGCCACAATCTATGCAGCATTGTTATAGTCTTATTATTTCTGTGTTTTGGATATGATTTTCCTAATGCTTTGAATAAAATTTTTCATGTAACATGCAAATAAGTTACTGAATATTTTACTATATTAAAAGTGATAATCATTAAAAATGCCCATATATTAGATTTCATGGTTCATAGAGGGTGATTTGAGAATTTCCAATATTTTTGGTTAATTTTATATCAACACCATCCAAATGAAATAGTATAGTGTTCATTAATATTGAGGAATAGTATAGCAGAAAAGCCAAGTGTTAAAATTATGAGCTTACAACTTCAAAAAAAGAGAAATTAACTTTCAGTAAAATCTCCTTTTAAATTACTGTGATAATATTGAGCAAATAGCTTTTAACTAAAGCATAACTCTTTACTCTGAGAAAGTCAAATGTTGAGGTATATTCTATATTCTTTATAAAGTAGTAGTAGTAAAATGGCACTGAAAGTCATATTCAAAAGTTAGCAGACAGTTTTACAGCCACAAAGCTAATGTTTTCTCTGAAAGTACAACCAAAAAAGGTTTGGGCTAAAAATGTGACTTCAGCCAATTTATTATTTGTTGTTAATAAGTTTTGGAATATCCACTTTGATTAATTCTCCTACTCAAACAAAAAAGTACAAATGACTCTTAGGAGACTGCATGCTAAATTAAAGCTGTGAATTTTAAAACATTAAAGTAACTGATACTATAAAGAAGGAATATTACAGGAAGGAATGAATTGATTTATACTTTTACCTAAAGATTAATAGATCTGACAGTTAATAAGACCAGTTTTCTTATAGCTGTTATTTTATATATCATATGTTAAAGAGTTACTTGGAGTGATAGGAATTATTTTAGGGCAAAACTTTACCATTCCACTAAAAAGAAATAGATAATGTGGAGATATTTTTCAGCATAATGCTGTCTTGTTTCCTTGTATATACCTTGCTGAAACCACAAAAGCACTATTCCCAAAGAACATCTTTTTTAAAAGTGTACACTGTGGTGTGATAAATTAAGGAAATTCTTTTTCATCCCATTATTTTTCATATATGCTATTATTTCATTCATACATTTTGTTTTAATTTGCTCTGACTAATCTCTTCTTCCCTGGGATAATTGGATTTATCTTTGCATAGCTTTCTACCTTGATCTTAATAAATACAAAATTGTACAGATCTTTTTCAGAAGACCATTTTTATGACCAGTGTTTTTATATAAGTCCTATGCTTTTAAAAAATTACATTGCTAATTAAAATATACTTATACTTAATGCATGAGTGGATAGTGTTTTTTTCCTTAAAGCTTCATTAGAATTTAAAACTACATTTGGCTTAAATATATTTGCTGTTTTGGATACTGCCTTTTTATATGTATTCATTCACATTTCAGACTAAGTTAAGTTTCTTTCAAAGTAGTGTTCTATATTACCTTTCCACAAGTGGTGTGATAGTTAACATTATATGCCAGAAGAAAATGGTTTAAGAATGTGATTAGGTCTATTTGATAGTAAATGCTCAAAGGAATTAGATCTATCATTACTTTTGAACATCTTTTTGGAAATCACTAGTCTCATTTCTTCACCAGAAGAGGCTTACACCGCTTAGTATTTCTGGTACACAGTTAACCTAGAACAGTGCCTTGCCCATAATAGGAGGCATTTTAAAATATTTTTGAGTGAATAAATTTAGAATCATAAGGAGAAATTGGAGTAACTTAATGGTATTTTCTTTACAATTTTAAGTGGATATTATTTCAAGATCATTAAGTTGATTACTAAAGACTATTACAGAATCAGTGAAAGGAAAACACATTTGTAGTTAATAAGTGTCAGGGAGCTGGGGAGGTAGATGGCAGAATAGGGGGTCACTGTGATAACCTCATACACTTACACAATGGGGAAGCAACTGTTTCTATACAAATAACTGAAAAGGACCTGATGATCTACACAACAGATCTATACCTTGCTAAAAAAAAAGAGAAGATCACATTGACAAGGGTAAAGAGGCAGTGCTGCAATCAGTGGAGATATAAGTTCTTCATCCCAACCTACAAGGGTGGGGATGGGGGACAGAGGAGATAAATGCCTGGGATCTTAGCACACCTGGCTGACCCTAGGGATCTGCTCCAGAAAGACAATTCCCCATAGCATTGGGCCTATGAAAATAAACAGGACTGGATGCCAGGGAGAACTGGAGGGCTGTGGGGGAGCAAGTATCTGTTGGTCGATGACTGGCATGCTCTGTCAATTGTTCTGAGACCCAACATAGAAAAGCAATTTGAAAGGAGACCTACTAACTTTGGGAAATGTGCCAGAGGGGTATGGGTCTGAGAAAGGGCTAGTGGATAACATTTTTCCACATTTCCTCTACCAAGCTGCCAATTTTGAAACTCCACATTAACCCTGCCTGCCCTGCTCTAGCATTCCCCTGAAGACTTGCCCCGCCGAACACAAAGCCCAGCAGTAGTTGGATTGGCCATTTCTGGTGGCCAAGCTGAGAGCAGGCCCTGCCCACAGCCCACCAACAGCAGTTGTGGGTCAGCCACAACAGGAAAGTGTGCATAGCCCACACAGGGGACACACCTGGAGCCCCTGGCTCTGATGAGCAAGGGATTTTGCACTTCTGGGTACCACAGGGTACCTACTGCATAAAGCTAGATTTCAAGATGAGGAGATACAGTTGATCTTTCTAATACATAGAAATAACATAGAACCAGACAACATGAGGAGGCAGAGGAATGTGTTCCAAACAACAAAACAAAACATGAGAAAAAAGTGCTAAATGAAACAGATAATCTACTTGATAATTCAAAGTAATAAGTCATAAAAATGGTCACTGAACTGGGGAAAAGACAATCACAAGGAGAACTTCAATAACGGTACAAAAAATATAAAAAAAGAACCAGTCAGGAAAGAATAGCAGCTCGAGAGGATTAAAGATGGTGACATGAGGTGAGACTGAGGCTTCCTCCTAAAACTGCATATAACATGAAAATATAATTAATACGACTAATCCTGAAAGAGCAACAGGAAAGAGGGTTGCACCAAACTGCATACACCTGGAGAAAAGAATAAACCTCACGGAACAGGGTAATGTACCAAAGCTGTGTACCAGTGGGACCCAAGCCCTTCCCCCACCCCAGCTCACTTGTGGGAGGAAGAGAAATGGAGCGGGGAGGGAGTGGAGGCCTGGGACTGCTGAATACCTAACTCTGGAGATCTGCTCTCAGGACGCAAACCTACATTTCATGGTGCTTTTTTGGTACTCTCGTGATTAGGGGATTGGAAAGCTAAGACAGGCAGCATACCTGGAGAGCCTGAGATTCCAGCCCCTTGTGGAAAGCAGGGATCCATATCTGGCTGCTCTGGGACAAAAGAGGTGGGCAGTCTGAGAGACTTCCTAACAGCAAGAGGGCAGCTAAAGGGGCAAGGATTGCATAGAGTTTACTGCTCAGGAGAAAGGACAGGTAGACAAAATTGTCCAGGTGCACTCTGCCCAGCAGGCCGGGAACTTTCTTAAACTTCAGGTGCTCCAGCTGCCTGGCTGGCTACACAGCAACAAGGACCCCCTCCATGATAAGCAGCCTACTGTGCCTTTCTCACAGCCAGCCCCACCTGACTGACAAACCAGCAAAACCTACGCTGGCATTAGGCTAGCCAGAGGGAAGCTCCATCTATAGCAACTACAAATGCAAAGCATAGAGGCTTATACCTGTGTGCTTGGCCCACTGGTTCTGGCAGTGGAGGCAGGCATAGCAGCCAGGAAGCAGGAAACAGCTCTCCTCCCTCCAGGCACCAATACCACTTCCCTGTGACCCCTGACATTGCTTCAGGGACTGAGCAGCTCCAGAGAGTAGAGCTTCTGGGCACTAGAGGGTGACATATACAAATATGAAACGCCAAAGAAACCTGGTTCAAAGTAAAACTATGAATACAACACCTGAGAAAGATTCAAATGACATCGACCTCATGAATCTTCCTGAAAGGGATTTCAAAATAAAAATCATTAACTTGCTCATGGAGGTACAGAAAAATATTCAAGAACTCAGGAATGAATTCTGGTTGGAGATCCAATCATTGAAGAGCACAAAGGAGAGTATTAAAAGCAGATTAGATATGGTGGAGGAGATGATAAATGAAATAGAATTTAGAGAAGAGGAATACAGAGAAGCTGAGGCACAGAGAGAAAAAAGGATCTCTAAGAATGAAAGAATATTGAGAGAACTGTGTGACCAATCCAAATGGAACAATATTTGTAATATAGGGGTACCAGAAGAAGAAGAGAGAGAAAAATGGATAGAAAGTGTCTTTGAGGAGGTAATTGATCAAAACTTCCCCAATCTGGGAAGGAGGTAGTCTCTCAGGCCATGGAGGTGTGCAGATCTCTCAACACAAGGGACCCAAGGAACACAACACCAAGACATATAGTAATTAAAATGGCAAAGATCAAGGATAAGGACAGACTATTAAAAGCAGCCAGAGAGAGAAATGAGATCACATACAAAGAAAACCCCATCAGGCTATCATCAGACTTTTCAGCAGAAACCTTACAGGCCAGAAGGGAGTGGCATGATATATTTAATGCAATGAAGTAGAAGGGCCTTGAACCAAGAATACTTTATCTGGCAAGATTATCATTTAAAATTGAAGGAGGGATTAAACAATATTCCAATAAGCAAAAACTGAGAGAATTTAGCTCCCACAAACTCTCTACAGTGTATTTTGGAGGGACTGCTATAGATGAAAGTGTTCCTAAGGTTTAATAGCTGTCACCAGAGGTAATAAAACCACAGTAAAGAAAGTAGAACAGTTAATTACTAAGCAAATGCAAAACTAAATTAACTATCCCCAAAGTCAATCAAAGGATAGACAAAGAGTACAGAATATGATACCTAATATATAAAGAATGGAGGAGGAGAAAAAAGAGCCTTTAGATTGTGTTTGTAATAGCATAGTAAGTGTGTTAAGTTAGACTCTTAGATAGTAAGGAAGTTACACTTGAACCTTTGGTAACCACGAATCTAAAGCCTGCAATGGCAATAAGTACCTATCTATCAATAATCACCCTAAATGTAAATGGACTGGATTATTGTCTAACCCCATACACAAATGTAAACTCAAAATGGATCAAAGACCTGAATGTAAGTCATGAAACCATAAACTCTTAGAGGACAACATAGGCAAAAATCTCCTGAATATAATCATGAGCAACTTCGTCCTGAATGCATCTCCTTGAGCAAGGGAAACAAAAGCAAAAATGAACACATGGGAGTACATCAAACTAAAAAGTTTCTGTATGGCAAAAGACATCATCAGCAGAACAAAAAGGCATCCTACAGTATGGGAGAACATATTTGTAAACGACATATCCGATAAGGGGTTAACATCCAAAATATATAAAGAACTTGCATGCCTCAACACCCAAAAAGCAAATAACCCAATTAAAAAGGGGGCAGAGGATATGAAGAGACAATTCTCCAAAGAAGAAATTCAGATAGCCAACAGGCACATGAAAAGATGCTCCACATCACTAATCATCAGGGAAATGCAAATTAAAACCACAGTGGGGTATCACCTCACACCAGTAAGGATGGCCAGCATCGAAAAGACTAAGAACAACAAATGCTGGTGAGGATGTGGAGAAAGGGGAACCCTCCTACACTGCTCATGGGAATGTAAACTAGTTCAACCACGTGGAAAGCAGTATGGAGGTTCCTCAAAAAACTAAAAATAGAAATACCATTTGACCCAGGAATTCCACTCCTTGGAATTTACCCTCAGAATACAGCAGCCCAGTTTGAAAAAGACATATGCACCCCTATGTTTATCACAGCACTATTTACAATAGCCAAGACATGGAAGCAACTTAAGTGTCCATCAGTAGATGAATGGATAAAGAAGATGTGGTACACATATACAATGGAATACTATTCAGTCATAAGAAGAAAACAAATCCTACCATTTGCAACAACATGGAGGGAGCTGGAGGATATTATGCTCAGTGAAATAAGCCAGTTGGAAAAGACAAGTGCAAAATGATGTCCCTTATTTGTGGAGTATAACAACAAGCAAAACTGGAGGAACAGAACAACGGCAGACTCACAGTCTCCAAGAAGGGACTAGTGGTTACCAAAGCGGGAAGGTGTGGGAGGGCAGTTGGGGAGGGAGGGAGAAGGGAATCGAGGGGTATTTTGTTTAATACACATGGTGTGGGGGGTCACAGGGAAAACAGTTTAGCACAGAGAAGGCAAACAGTGAATCTGTGGCATCTT